TAGAAAGCTCTCCACGAAGGCGTCCCTCCCCTTGAGCAGATAACCCTTGCCGTACTTAAATAAATTTAATCAAACCATTTTAGAAACATGCGGGGTGGAATAGATTTTACACTGTGATGCAAACCAAGTAAATAACATTCATCAAGATAGTTGTGTATTAAAAGAAATTTTTAAGCTGCAATCTGATAATATGATATTTACAAATTTACTGCAAACTTTGAGAGTCTAATGACTGACGCAATCGATCTATTACTCTTCAGGCTGCGTAATATCTTACAAAGCATAATGTATTTCATTTCCTTCAGTTTCTTACATTTCTTTTAACTGACATTGAATTCAGCTTAAAAATCTACTGAATAAAATCTATCAACTATTGAAAACATCAACAAAAGGCCCTTTTGTGTTAACGAAACTCAGGAATTAACCAGAGCAATTTTTTCCGTATTTATATTCAAGTACTTCATTTTTCATTGATGTTTCTTTCCTTGAAAGATTAATAACTAGCAATTAAACAATTTGAATGTACGACATCTGCGAGGAGCAAGAATAGGAATAAATGGCGAAAAGGTAGACTATTGAATAAAATCTCTATTCGTAAACATATGATTCAATTCTAGTCAATCTCTCAGTATATAACCTCAAAGGGTGCTTCCTTGTATGATCTGCCTTTTATATGTCAAAGAATGAAATTGTCAAACACGCATGGAAAAAGATCTTTTCCGCTGCTAAACTAAATTTCTGTACTTATAAAGGTAATAGGCATGAATAGCAGGGAAATTTCATATATTCTTTAGGCAGCGTGAATTGAATTCTCCTTCATGTATAATACGTAAAAGTTGTTATTGCTAAACTTCCTAGCCAATGGCCTTTCTATCAAAATGTCCTACACCCTTTTGTTTGTTATCTATGTTGCTCCACACAAAATATTATAATCTTTGAATAACATTTATAATCAATCTAAGTTCATTTTACATAGTAATAATACTTCAAATTAATATAAATTAAGATTTATAACTATTAAACTAACTATTTATTTTTCATATAAATTAAGATTTATATTAGTTTTCAGATTCTAAATAACATTTTTATTGCTGTAAGTTAAACGTTTCATTTATAGCGTTTTCACTACTTCGCGTTCAAGACAGGAAAAAAATGAAGACTTTATGCTTCATTAACAAAATAAAACTTAACGTTTGTAACATTTCCAATACAAATTTGGATGTTTTAAATGTCATATAATATTGGATTATAAATGAAACGAAATACATTGCTTATTTAAATCTTATAATTATTTCGTGCATAAATTGCAGAGATCTCAAGTATAAAAGGATTGAGAAAATGTTTTGTTTAGGCATTCATCTTTTGAAGTTATCCGAACATGATGCCGAAGTTTAATAACTGATTGTATTCGTTTAAATCAGTACTCTAAACCCTGTACCCAAAGACATTTCTTAAAATCTGATTCCTTAATTATATAAAATGCCATACTAACAAGAAACTTTACATATCTGTAAAATTTTAGATGTAACTTAAATTCTCATAATTAAGATTTGTCTGTTCGCGTGTAATATTGCATACTTCGGAAAATCATATACAAAAGGCAAAGCCAAGACATTCTGTTATGCAGAGTAGCCAATGAATTTTGACTATTTTTAGACCGTCAGACTTAACCTTATTAAAAAATGCCTAAACTTCACCGAATAAAAGAACCATTACGCAACTTTTTACAACGTAAAAATATAATATTCATCAGTAAAATTTACTGCAGAAAAATTTCAGTTTCCCTGAAGCTCACTTTTCATGAACTGCTGCAGTAACTTTTGAATGATACATCCAGAATTTTAAAGCTTTTTTAATTCATCTGGATAGCATAATGCCAGTATACAATTAAACATTGCTTTTAAAAGATCCTAACTTTTCTAAACCTCGTTTTCTTAAACCTCACCTTCAAATAGCCGAATACTGGCTGCGAAAAAGAGCTGTCAAATCAGTTGATGCTGATTAAAAATGTTTCGTTTGATACTCACTTCTAAAATACCAAAATTCCAGGTTCGAATATTTTGTTTTGCAATATTCATTATTTTATTGACGTTAATCATATATCAATATAATACTGTCACTTGTATTTTAAGCAATGATAAAATTTAGCCTTGTCTTTAATTTCAAGTAAAACGTCCTAATGCATCGAGGCTTTCTGCTTAAAAGCAATGATAACTTTCGTTTACGTTTAAATACGTTACGTTTTAAATTTGCAAGTTTTTTAACTTTTCTAAAACTCAAGAGTATGAATCTTCAGAATTTATCATTGTTATACAGACTGGTGCATAGTTGAGTTTCGATAAAACTAATATCTACGCATGCATTTTAAATCAGTATATGTGCAAAGCTATGTGTTTTCTAAAAATGTAACGTTCTACAGAAAAGCAAAATACATCTTGTTTCTATTTTAGATGACAGTACCTAAAAGAAAATACCATGCAACATAATCGCTGTTCATTCATTCGAAGATTCATGCTGAAGATTTTCTTGTCTCTTCAATCCGTTCAAATAATGTTCTTCCTTAAAGAAAATTCAGAACAGATGTGCCAATAAAAGGGATGGTTGAAATATTTAAGCAAAACATTTATTGAAAGCTTTCAGTCTCGTCACTCTTCATTCAAAAATTTTGAAAAAAATGTAGTCAGTGCTTAAGTCACGTTCTTCTATTGCTGTAATTTTTCTGGCTCGATTACATTTACTAACACGAAACAGAAAGCAGAAGGGCGAGACTGAAATATTTACAAGATCATCCACACAAAAACCACCCCTCTGTTTCTCGGTTTTTATTATTCTGTCCTCCATCTAGTTGCTTTTTGATTTACTGCGCTCATAAATATTCATGAATTTACCTTTTATTATACCTTACCGCATGCTGTATGCAAGGCAACACAAAATAGACTTTTCCATTTTCTCATGTAAAGTGCTACTTACATGTGTTTTACGAACGGCATGCGAAATTCGCGCATGAATGAAGGACGCCCAGTAATAACCCAGGATGCAATGGTACTAATATCAAAACCTCCAATAGCACAAAATAGACAGTCTCAACTAAGTATGCTAAATAAGAGACTTTTAATAAGCCTTAATTAAATTCTAGATTTTTAATGCTCATAAACAATGCAGAAATGAAAATAGGTGAAAGACTTACCATTTAAGTTTTTTGTCATGTCATTTCAATGCCTGATAGACACAGTAAATAAAAATAGTGAATAAAATAATGAATAAAAATATAACAAATTAAAAAAATCCATATATCAAACATTTATCTATTAACTGTAAAGCGACTGCACTGTGTTCAATATATTAATTATAGTTAAACCATAGTCTAATTTTGACCTGTTATCAAAGTAAGATGATCGCGTATTTTTACTTTACACTGGTGTGCAAAAATTAAGGACGAGACGATTTTTTCAATATAACTTTGTACAAAAGCTTTCCAAATCAACACATTTAATACCGTAAGATCCCTAATACGTAAAGACATGAGTAATGTAAACAACACTTACTAAAAGAGAAATCAGAGGGATAAAAAGAAGCTTTATTGAAAAAGTAGCATGGAGCGCAATGCGACTGAAGGCCGAAACATCCCTGTGATGGATGTCCAGCAAGAAACATCCGGTTCTTTAATAGGGAATATGATCTCCCTGACTGCTAGGCAGGTTTCACAGCGTCTGCCCATGCTGAGAATGAGGGTGTCAATGAGTTGTTGAGGCATTGCTGCCCATTCGTCTTGCAGCGCCAATCGAAGCTCCGGAATCGTTACTGGTGGTAAGGTACGAGCTGCCAAGCGTCTGCCTAGAAAATCCCATACATGCTCGATGGGATTGACATCCAATATCATGCCGGCCAATTCATACGTTCAATATCCTCACTCTCTAAGAGCTGTTCGGCAGCTACTGTGCGATGACATGGTGCATTGTCGTCCACGAAAAGGAACTGCGGACCCATAGCGCCTCTAAAAAGACGCACATATGGAAGAAGAATCTCGTTACAATAACGAGTCCCGTTGACTGAACCTGCGTCGAAGATGTGAAGGTTTGTACGACTACCAAGCATGATGCCTCCCCAAACGAGAACACCGCCACCTCCATATCTGTCCCTTTCAATGATGTTCGAGGGATGATTGCGGCTTCCCCGCTCTCTCCGAGTATGCGATGAGAATCGCTACTCACACTGAATCTGCTCTCATCTGTAAAGAGTACTCGTCCCCATTCATTGTCTCTCCAATTCCGGTGTTCCCGGCACCACAGAGAACGCCTTCTCCGATGGGCAGGCGTTAGAGGCACACACCGTACAGGGCGCCGTGCAAACAGACCACCACCGTGCAGTCTTCTGTCCACGGTAAAACCTGATATCGGTCGTCCAGTCGCCTGTGTCTAGCGATTTCTCCCGCTGCCTGCCGCCTGTTTCTTCTGGCCTGTAAGGCAATATACCGGTCATCAGCGGGTGTGGTTCCTCGTGGACGACCACTACTAAACCCCCGGATAGCTGTTCCTGTAGTTTGAAATTGTCTCCAAAGTCGTGAAACGATGCTGTGAGCAATTCCGAACTCTGCAGCCACACCTGTCACACTGCGACCTTCCTCCAACTTCCCAATGATTCGACCTCGGGTAAAAGCATCCAGATGTCGTCTAACAGATTGATTATTCGCCATTTCTCGCTGAGGCAGCAACTCGGTGTGATTTTAACTGCTATACGGCGTGCAATCTCTTTGCCAGAAATACTGATCTTACACCGACAACATGCTTTATACTGCTTAGACACTCCCCCATTACGTCTACCTGCATATCTGCGCATGTGCTACCGTACATCACCTTACTTAATCTCCTGATTGGTCTTTCTGTCCGCTCTGCCTCTTCGTTCAGCTGATATGCTAATTTTTCGACTTCGTCCTTAATTTTTGCACACCAGTGTATATTGTTTTATATTTTGCATTAAGATGATTTTGTTTAATGTTTCAGTCTTTCTTTGGGCGCACATACAACAATTTGGCAGCGCTAGGAGAATGCAAGAACAGCGGACAGTGTGTCATCAACAAGAAAAACAGAACGGCATGCAAAAGTTGCCGGCTAAAGAAGTGCCTACTGGTGGGAATGTCCAAGAGTGGTGAGTTCCACTTCTTCTCTGTGAAAATAATACTATTGTCTTTTCAGCTTCGAAGCCTCAACAATATGAGGCGCGTATGCTGAAAATACGAAAAATTCATTTCAGAATTTTATCCAAAGTATTTAAAATAAATTATAAGAAATATCATTACCCACTTTCTTTTAGTGAATATAAAAATCAGGGATACCTTGACGATCACTGGTTTACACTGACCTTTTGAACAGGCATATTTCTTTATATAGCTTCATGACGAGCAATCTAATTTTGCTTTTGTCACTTTATGTAACTTTCGATTAACCTAATCGGCAAAATAGCGGAATCTTGAATAAGCAGGTCATTATGCATATTTTAAAATCTTGAATTGACCTTAAAGAGGTTTGTAGACTTCGGTGCTTCTCTCGAGGCCGAAGATGAGACCATTAACGAGAAGGGCATTAAAAGTTGTCCGCAATAATGTGCAATAGTCTCAAAAAACTGGCGTAGAAATGGCGTGGAAAATGAACCATCTCTATTTCGCTTCATGACGGGATTCTGCAATTCTTGTTTTCGCAATACGTGAGGACATTCAGAAATGACCCAACCCCTGCTATGGGACTGCGCAGAGGTCAGCGCGCGGGTAAGTCTTGTCACGAGCCTTACCATTAAGGGTCAGGCGAGAGGTTAATTGTGTTAAGCTCGTTCATAGTGATCCGTCGTCTTTTTCCTTGTGATAGGGTCAGGGCCTAAAATAATAATCATAAGGCGCCCGGAAGAAAAAAAATATATTATAGCAGTAGACGGTGATGAATTTTTGAACCACGGTGATGCGGTTTATAAAGGGGAAATGCAAAAATTTAGTAATTTTATATTACTAGTCTAGTAAAAGAATAACCATCTCTTCTCATTGGGATTTATTGAAAAATGAAACGCATTCATGTAATGATTTATCTTTCAACTAACAATGTTGATATCTATTCCTGAAAACTCAGCGTTTCATTCTCCATCAAGTAAAGGGCCTGTTTGTGGATCAATGTTAATTATATAAATTGTTTATTTAGATGTTTAAATTACCTTTAGTGTACACGGATTCGAAATTTATGGCTGGCACAATTGACTTGAGGATTATTGAATTTGAAAAGAGATGAAACAATACAAAATGTATCCATAAAAATGAAATAACTAAAATTAAATAAAATAACAAGATGGAAATGATTTTGAGGATTTTTACATTCTGAGTTAACTACAAGCTAGATGATGAAAATAATATGATTGATATCGTCATTTACTGAAGTAATTTATCTTTGCTGCTGTATGATATTTCGATGCTAAACAATATTTCCGATTTGAAAAGTATTCAGTTTTAATTTGGAGACGTTCCCAGAAGCATTAAAGAATACATTAAAATTATTATTCGTAGTAGTTTTAGCTCAGTATGCTACGAAATTTTCTTTTTTATTTCTGCATTTTATTTTTCATACTGTCGTAACTTTTTATTTCGTATCTAACAGAGAATCAGTTCCCTAAGCATGTAAATCTAGTCTGCCCTAAATTCGTTTATTGGCAAACTTAAAGGTATTTGATAGGAGAATTTTCTCTTAAAAAAAATGGGCGACCTTATCTGTAGATCAGTTTTATATGTTATTTCATTGATCCTTGTCTTGTCATTCATCGCGCTGCAATTTGGACTTTTAGTCAAAACTAGAGCACCTTTGCAATACAGGGGAACGGCTCTGTAATTAACATGAGTGTATCATCAGAACGCTCCCTTCCCAAATGCTGCAAAGGTGGGACGCGTAACGTCGAAAGAGTGAATTCCCTACTTTTAAATCGTGATCTGTTAAATTACAGCGTGGGTGACTTTAAAAGGTAATGGAGCCGTGAGACCACAAGCTCCTTCCTCATGTTCATTTTAACCACGTTATGATTATCGTGCTCGCATCTCATCGATATCGAGCCTCTCCATTTAATCGATCAAATGAATCTCAGTTGTTTCATTTTTGTAATGTAGCGTTGCACTTCTAAGTAAGACTTGACACGCGGTGTTTAGGACTCAGTGGAATAAAATGGTCTTTCAAACGTCTCAAGGTCGGCTGATGTGAGATGAAAGCCATGATCTTAGTGATCACGGAAGTAACACACTGCAGATTCTTCGTAGATGAGCTAATGAAAGTGTTTCGCGATCCGAGCCGTTTTTAGGGTCACGTTTTAAGCGCACTCTACGCATTCGTCTTGTTGATCTGAGTTAACTTCTTTTTTTCAATTGATTGGATAAATCAGATTATTCATTTTCACTCTTCCTTTATATACGCAATGAAATAGGTGTAATCATCCTGAAAATCGTTTCATGCCTTATTTTCACTAGAACACGTTTTGTCTACTCTTGATAGCCATTTGGCCACAGATGTCTATGCGATCTATTTCCTAGTGTGAGAGTGCTTTAGCACATGTCATTGTAATTTTGTAATAAAAATATTCATATATATTTCTCAGTTGTATACGATAAGAAAGGTTAAGTGGAAAAATAAGGACATAAATCTTATTTTTTCGCATATTCACACATATATTTTCACACAAATTTTCTCTCGTATATTAATATAAAGTACTCATGAAACAGTAAACGAAAAAATGGGTATGTGAAATTATATCAGTCAGGCCAAATAATAATGAAAAAAAGTCTGTGCTCTTCTACATGAAAGCTAGCCAGAAGTAAAATTTGAATGGCCATTTTTATTGAATTACAGTAGAAATATTTTTGTATTTGCTCAAATTACAAAGTAATCGGAACAATATATAACAAGTCATTATACTGATGTATTGTTTTATTGGCAATAGGAAAGTATTATACAAATATGTAGTTTAAAATTCTTTAGGTACATGGGGCCAACTACTAAACAAATCAGATTCATTTCTTCAGACAGGATTTTTTAAATTTTTTTAAATTTTATTTTTATTTTATTTAATTAATCTTAAACTAAACTTTAAATATCTAAATTATTTAAAGTAAAAAAATACATCGCCTAGGCTAAAAACGGAAGTTAATATTGAAATTTCTTAAAAAAAATATCTAATTGTCCAGCAATGCAATCTTGGAAACTTTTCGGACAGTAAAATTTTTACTTGGTTGTATAAAATCAGTAGAATTAAAACGTAGAAAAATTATAGTTAAAAATAGGAGGTAGGATGTAAAATTTAATATATTATCTTACACTATAAATATTATCAATAAATGTATAAATAAAGATTGCAACTTATTAATCTTATATCTCCTCATATTATTCAGTTAATGATATTTTTGCAACAAAAGCCTATAAAAATAAAGGGTACGATGTTAGTGTACGTAAAGTAATGTATTAAAGGTACCCCATTTTTTAAAATGCTTTTTACTAAGTCCACAAACAAAGCCTTATTATTTCCCCATTCCATTTATTAGATGTATTTATAGAGATTATAAATATTCGAGCCCAAGCTCTTCCATACTACAGTCAGCCTCTCTAACGAGTTGAGTGGCTAGACAGCTAAGCAGAATAGTGGTCAACGCTGTTACAGTAGGGCTATGGCGTTGTCTTTCGATGCTTTCAGTAGCGTTTCTCTTTAATTATGGCCAACGTTTATCGCGGGGAAAGGTGGGATACAAATTAGCGAAACTGCAGCTATAGGAATCTATATCAGGTACAGAAATTCATCGTGGCCAAGAGGGAAAGATTGAACCTGTCACTGGCAAAGGCCTCGGGGCCTACCTAATACATAACAGTACGAATTTCCCTAGCTCCATCCCAGCTTTGAAGGAGAACACCCCCCTCTTCCTTTGTCAATAATCTCTCAAGTGAGCTTTAAATGCCCCTTTGCCGCAAAGTCACTACATATTTACAAATATCCATGCCTTCTGTTGGATTTCAATCCGAGCCCAAAGCTACAGCAACTTTTTCTCCTACGCCATGTCGAACAGAGCAGTTATAAGTACCTTAATTATAGCTTGATATGAAAGTGTTTCGTTTTTAATGTTTTCAAGAATATTTAGAAAATTTCTTCGAAGTTCTTCTTAAGAATAAGTTTGGCTGCATGGAAGTTACTGCATGCTTGATCAATATGGAACTTTAAAATTTATTTTTTCATCAGCTAAACTTAAGACGTACAACTTCGAGACAGAAAAACTCCTTCTGATAGTTTTATATTATTAAGTATGCTAAACTTTTAACTAGCGTGTAATACAAAAATCTAATTTATCCTAAAAATTAGTTTACTTTAATATGGAAGTTAAAGAAAGTCTTTCTGCCTTTACTTTAAAACAAGAACTAAGTGGAACATAATTTCTTGTAAAGTTGAGTATAAATGTGATTTCATAATTGAACCTGTTAATATATAGTTAACAAACACTTTACAAGAAATATACTATTTCGTGAACATTTAGGCAAAAAATTGTTCCATTAAAAATAAAGAAAAATCCTACCATGTGATAAATATTGATACGATTTTATGTGGTTCTGAAAGCGTGTATGTATTTTATGTTTAAAATATGACAACACAAAGGCCAAATAAAATATCACATTACACAAGGTAAAATGAGGTCCACTTTTTCCAAATTTGTTTCTGCTTCAGAGCTAAACAGCGCAGCAAGGATTAACGCAGATGGTTGTACATACTTAATGTAAGAAATTAGTATGAACCCAAACTGTGAATATGAAAACAGGTAATCTGCTTGTCCCCAGATCCTGTAAGAATGACCGCGAATAATTGTTTGATGGAATATGCTGAGCTATATTTAAGTTCAGTTGCATAGCATAAAGAAATTTAATCCATTATCGTGGACCTTAAGGTCAAGGAGTCATGATCCGTCTGCTTATTCTTTTAGAATGTATTTTTCTCTTCGCTTAAATTTCTGAACCGGCTTTTGTTAAGAAAAAGGGAACGCTTCGTTTCGGTAATGGTTACAAAAAAGAAAATATGTTCAGGAAATTGTTGTGAAAAGAGCTCTGTGAAAAGCTCGACCTGGTTGCTCGCTGCCTTCATCGGAAGCACTCTTCATGTTTTGCCACTGGCCGTAGGTGCGGTTGTTTGTGTCTATAAGCCAAATCAAGCTCACATTTGGATTTTGAGAAGACTTCTGTATTTTTCGCGAATTAGAAATATGAAATAGAAAAGAGTTGTTAGGTTTTTTTCACAGTAGGTTTCAAATTTGTGCTGCTCCCAAAAATTAAAAAATTCTTAATTAGATGGTTCAGAAATACAGAGTAAATAAAGAAAATTCAGATATGAACTTTGGCGCATTTGCAATTATAAAAACGTTTATCATATTTTGCATTGTTTTTCTCAATGATAACAGCAAAATTCTGAAGCTCCGGACAGTAAGAAAGAAAAAGTAAGGACAGTAAGAAGACTTTCTGAAGAGTAATTGCAGAATATCAAATTGATTTTAATAATGAATATTTTATTATTTCTGTTCGCGACTGAAAACATTTTGACATTTCCGATTTATATTGTCAGTCAGGTTTTTAGGAATTTTTGATAACTTCACTCAAACTTTGTCCTCTTTCATTTAAAGAAATTTGGGAATTGATAGAAAATTAATTTTTCTTCCTAAATGGCTCTATAAATGATCAGTAAGTTCTTCAAATGAATCTAGTTCTCAAAATGTTTTTATTGGTCAATTCTTTATCTTGATTTCCGAGAAACAGAAATTAGAATGACTTGGGGAGGTTATTCATTGTAATCCACTTACACTAATGAAAAATTAATTGCGTCACGATAATGACTAATTTAATGATGAAATGTTTTGTACCTAAACTTTAAATGTTTAGAATTTTCTAAGTATACTCTAATATAATTTCTAAGTTTATAAGTGAAATTCAGTATTTCCCCCTATGTGATATCTAACCAAATTATAGCTTTACATTTTCCTTCATCTAAATATGTTAGTTTGGCTGCTCCTGGCTTTTGAGCTTTCAGATCGTGATGCAATGTAAATCGCATTGCATCACGATCTGAAAGCTCAAAATTAAAGGAGCAATATCAAATAAAGGAGAGCATAAACTCAATTTAAGAGCAGTAATAAACCGGGAGCGTAATTGCAAACTGCACATTCAGTTGATCAATGTTAAATGAGTTTCGCAAACTGCGCATGCCCAGAAGAGAATTTGGCGTAATTACGACTTTGGTACATTTTTTAAAAGAAGATAAATACGGTGTGTCGTTGATATTCTGTTATCTAGGCGGCAACAGTTCGGGGTTTTAAAACGTTTTAGGTTGTAAGTTGCTTTATTACTTAGAGGGTAACTATTGATTGTAAACTACTCAAAAGTTTCGTTTAAGAATGATTACAAAACAGGAAACATTATAGGATATATTAGCTGAATCTTTATTGAATATACTCGTGAGGAATTAAAGCAATTGCGTATGGTAAATAACTATATGTTCCATTTGTATATACTTTAATAATAAATCCAGTTAAAGAAAATAATAAGAATAAATCCAGTTTAAATTACTGAATTAAAGTCAAGGAAATTATGATAACTGATATTAAATATAACGTTTATGAACAAAATAAACCAAAATGAAATTAAACAGAAGCAAATGCATTAAGCACAAATAAATTTCGGTAGTATTGTAATTGTAAATAGTCCATAAGACCTACATGATGAACAGGCTTGTGTAGTGTTGTTTATACATGGTCGCCAGTATTTCCTGCCACGCCAACGGTACACCACTGAGCATATGCAGTAAGCGAAATTCGTTAACATTGATCAACTCAATGTGCGGTTTGCCATTACGCAAACCGGAACCTCTACTGTTGACAACAAATCATCTTGCATAAAGAACACTGATAGTAATGTATTCTCCCAGTTGTTAAAAATGATCCAGCGGATGAGTCATTACAAGACGATCAGCTAACTGACAACAATGATGAAGCAGAAGTACAACATCTGAACATAGATAGCAGGTAGAAGTGGGCGGAACACCAGAAGTTTCAGCATTAGTTGTACAAGTATATTCCCACCTCACTAACTGTGCAATTACGTTGCAGTTTTGAGAAGTGACACGCCGGAAGGAGGCGGTTCGAGGTTCTCCCAACCCTTTTCCCCTACCACAACCTCTCCGGAGGACTTTCAGCTCGAAGTGTATTTTGAGTGCCCCATTGTCACACACACGCTATACTCTTACTTCTCTAGGATTCCGTACAGTATTCAACCTAAATATGTCAGTATAATCTGTTGCACTCTATGATTGTACATTTCTTCTAGTACCTTGCTTGCAGATGCATATATTCCTTTCTCTGTTAAATAAATGCAATCTGTTCTACCGGGGCGGCAAAGTGCTGCCGCCTGGCAGCAGTGGTTAACTCCCGCTGGGTTGGTAACCAATTCCACATGCATATTTTAAGTATACCTGAGTCGGGAGTCAACTCAGCAGTTTACTGCCACTAACTACCATGAAGCAGTAGTAGTGTGTCTTCATGCCGAAAATGCAAGAAAACTTCTTGGTTCTTAAAACGTGGAAAACAAATGTCTCTCCAGGGGGGCTCGACTAAAATGTGGAGGACGATAATTCGTCACTTTCTGGACTTGGCTGACTAGATAGCGTTCTTCTCTCTCAAGTCGCCCTTTAAGGGGGAGGATATAAGAAAATATAGTCTTGCCTTTTGTGTACTCTTTAGGCTAACACTGAAACAAAAGTGTAACAGGCTAGAAAAATTCTTGGATTGAATCGGGGAGAGCATATCTGATTTTTCCTCTTTCCTGTTCAGACAAAAATTAGACTCTTTCTCTCTCTCTTTCTCCCTTCGCTGCCTACAACAGCGAACTTCAAAAATCTTTTCTCCATAACACAAGAAATATTTCAAGAAAATAAATTTCAAGTTAACATTAATTTACATTTCGCGTGGCTGGGTGAAAGTGCATGCAGGGTTACCGGGAACAGAAGACGCTGACTCCCTTGCTAAAGACGCAGCTGCTGCTCAAGTTTCTGAAGTTATGAACACAGAATGGCCAAAGTAATATCTAGAAAAGAAAAGCACTAAAATCATAAATCAAATTTGGCTGGCCGAATGCAATTTCCTCCCCCTAAAAGCTGAAAAATACATGAATTAATTTAAGTAATAAACAGGAAAGGGTGTCTCTCTAATCTCCACTTAAATCAGTTCATACCTGGACTAAACCATTTTAAACCTGGAATTTCATTTTGGTGCACATACCCATCAAAATAGTATCTGTACGGAATTTTATGGAAAGGTATCACAGATAGGATGTTATCCTGGATCAGTAGTATCGCGGCACATTACCTATATCACCATATGATAAAGTTTTGGTGTCCCGTATGCTTATTTCTGCCCTGTTCCTCACTGGCCTTTGCTTTAGAACTATAAATAGATTCTGTGTTTAATATTTAGCAGTTTAGTTTTCTCTGCCTCTGTCAAACTATTTTGTTTATTTACTCAATATCTTTCCGTATTATGAACAGAATAAATGTTTTCTCTGTGACGTAAATATCTTTAAAATGCAGTCTGAATATCAGCAATATCTGATTAAATTAATGCAGCGTATAGGATGGTGCAACTTAAGGAGTAATCTGTTTTACACTAAAATTGTCTGATTGGTTTACAAAATGAGTTGTAGCTTTCATTTATGCATTTTAACATAAAAATTCTGATATTTGTTCTTATTCTTCCTACAAGCTATATTTAACAGCTCTTTTTTTTCATTCAGCATATAGTAAAAAAAAAAAAAACTTCTTAACACTTAATTATGTTAGTACAATTATTTTAATATTCTTATACACTTAATGCTGTTATCTAAATATTTTGAATGTGTTTTAAAATGCAGTTCATAGTATTTCTTTGGATATTTATGAGCATGTAAATTCAAAAGAATTTTATAAATTACAGAAAGATTTTGAAACACATCCCATCTAGAAATAATTGTTTCAGTTTCCTTCTTTCGATAACATTTATAAAAAAAGACCTTTTGCTTTAATATATACTATGATTAGTAGTACTTGCTTTTTATTTTCAGACATTTGCACAAACGTGTGATTTTTGCGAATGGAGATGCAAATATGAATTAATCTGCAGGGAATAATATATAAAAAGAATGCATGCAAAAGCTAGAAATTGTATTTAAATTCTGGTGAAAATTTACCTAAAAGCATATAAAATATGTATTCAAACTAGGTTTCCCGTTTCATTTCAGGCTCTCGTTATGGCCGTCGATCAAATTGGTTCAAAATCCATTGCCTTATTCAAGATCAAGCTGAAATGACTAGTAGACTAGCTGATCAAGGAGTCTTAGCCAACAACCATTACGATTCGAAAGATATGGTACATCATTTTCGCTCTGAGTTCAGTGACGTAACTTTGCCCACGAACGGACACTCAAATAGAGGCTCCCCTTCTTCTGACCCAGGTACAATGGAGACAACTACAAGTCCAGTGTCTTACAACTTTTATCCGTCCAAAAGTGCAACCAATGGCTATTCTAACGGGTTTTCAGGGTATGATACTAGCAGCCCGACATACGGGGAAAGGAAAGAAAATGTGGCATTTCAACATCATCACCATCTTCCACTGTCCCCAGTGTCACCTCTTCATCCTAGTAAATTTTTCTTCCATCCAGCTAACAGCAGCTTCTTTGCTAAGAATTTCAGTTCCCTACCCAAGGTTTTTAGCCCAGAGATGAATTATTCACCTCCTCATCGGTTACTAGGAGTACCCCCGAGTGGAGTTTTGAGTAGCCCTGTACTCAGTCTTCCGCGTGATGGACCTCTGGTTAATACAGAGAGCTTCAGAGACGTTCCAGAACAGGATACTCCTATCGATTTGTCTGTTAAAAAGCCAGAAACACCTAATTCTGATGCTAGTGCCGATCGTGTGAATGGTAATGATGATGATGAGTATATCAATATGGACGACAATGAAGACACTGACCAGATGCCAGTGAGAGCAGAAACGCCTTTAGATTTAACATCGAAAAGAGCTGTTTCATGCTAAATATTTGTTGCTTAATGATTATTGTTGTGTTTTCGAAAACTTTGTTGTTATGTTTCAAAGTACTATTCCTAGAAGAAAACAGTTGTCGAAGGTATAAATTAATAGGTGCTACTGGTTAACGATAGGCAATCATGAACTTGAAATTTGACGAAGTGACTCGTCATTTTGATACAGTATTAAATGTCTAAAATTTTGTTTATCATCTACGCATGCGGCCAGTTCAGATGTGATTTGACTCTACTTAACTTATGTATCTAACCACCACACGATGGTGATGTAAGTGCCTAACTAAGTCATAAAATGCTTGTGATTAGAAACGAAGCGAACAATCTGTATACATGTATCATACTTTCGAGACGAGAACAAAAACTGCGTTTTTGTACACGAAACCCACCTTCTGCAGTAGCAGTTATGAAGAACTTTCTGCTTGTTATTTCATGACATTTTCATTAAGTGGCCTTCGTCTATTACTTGTATGTAAGTGTGTATGAATAAGTATTTTATGTATATATGTGTGTGTATATAGATATATCTCCTTATATATATATATATATATGACATCTTCAAACATATGCATATATATATATAATATATATATATATATGCACATCTTCAAACATATGCATATATATATGTATATATGCGCATGCCTACATACATATTTACTATTTTTATATATTATGCGTGTGTGTATGTACTTATACATATAAATGTATGAGTGCGCATTTACATGTGCATGTATATTTATACATATATGTGTATACATTTATATGTATAATCACACACCCACACTCAAACTCTAAAAAGAGAGAATAATAGCATTTTATTGAACTTTTATATAGTAAAAGGTAAAACCAAGAAATTGCAAGAAAAGAACATAGGTAATACTGAATAAAAATTAGAATCTAATGAAATTTTATACAATATTCAAAAGCTCATAATAGCCGGAAAATACTTTTAGCAATTTTGAGAAATGAGAGTTTGTAAAAGAAGCAATAAGTGTAAAAATGATCTTTGCTAATGATATAAATTGTTCCTTTGCTCACTAAATATTCTCATAAAGCATTTTTCTCTCGGTGAAGTAGGAATGCGATTGAAAGGTATTGCATAATTACCCACAATGTTAGCTTGAGTTTAAAATAACTGTTGTGAAATCAATTCTTTAAAAAAATAAACTGAGATGAAAAAAATCTTATTTCAGAATTTTGCAAAATTTAATATCCGTAAAATGCAGAATTTAACTTAAGATTCATACAAAGCCAGCCCTAAATAGAATCATATTTAATCTCTTCACATAAAATAAGCCATTCGTCATATACAAGTCGAAGTGTAGAAAAATAAATTATGTACAATGAAGTAAATACTTAACGAAATCAGAATTCTTATTATTATCTATGTTCTAGTGGGAGCACATACACACACATTACATATATATATATATATATATATATATATATATTATATATATATATGATATAGGTCGATAGATAGAAAGTTCTAAATGAATAATATTTTTTTAAAGCCAACATTGTTAAATTTTTTCATGTACCATAATTTTGTATTGTTTTAATTTTGCCATATCTTTTTAATTGTATATCTGTTTGTAGTTATTGTTATAGTTGCGTTTATCTTCACCTCATAATGCGGAGTTAATGAAATAAATGTCTTCCAGGTTTGTATATGTAGGTTTTGTTGTTTCTTCTGACATGATTTCAAGTACCTCTTACAAATGCGCATTATATATACTGTCATAAAGTTTTGTACGATATATTTATTCTGCAGCTTATTACTCAAGAACAAGCAATACAATAAATTGAAATTATTTTACCATAACTAATGACAAATGAAAATCAGATATTATTCCTTGTTCGAAAACTGTATATATATTATATTAACTACTATAAGTCATTAGTAAACTAAATAAATAGTTTCCGAAAGTATGAAAGCCTTATTTTTATGCTTATTGATTACTGATCATTTATAAGCCATAAATTTAATATTGCTTTAATTTGCTTTTAAAATATTTATCTGAAATTATACGATAACCGCAGATATGATATAATGTACGGATAGTTGCAAGTATAAAATATTTTCCCGTTCTTTCCGATATCCATACGTTCTCAATTGCTTAAGATCAAAGACAAAGACTTGCTTTTGCAATAGAAAGCAGTTTTAGATACCGAGTGGTGAGAGGCAATTCTTAGAGGGAGACAATTCTATTTGAAATACTTAAAAGGGAGATGTTTGTGGAATAATATGAACTATTTACTGCTTGTTGAAAAAAATTGCAATGTTAAGTCTCATTTGAGGTCGATAAAAATTTATAAGCGTGACCATCCATTGTTTTGCGATCAGTGAAAGTGAAAAACAGAAAAAAACTCTAAATCTTCCTCTAGTCGCGCGAAAGATTGGCCAATAACTCTCTCTCCCACCTATGTATGTCAATAGGTTAGTCGCTACGGTCTGAATGCATCTAAGACTCATCATTCTAAAAGTCCACTTTTTCTACAAGTGAAAGTTCTGACACGGTTTTCTTCAGTGGGAACAATCTTCATTGTTTCCACCAGGATTTAGATAGCCCAGTGTATTGCATATTTTATCGGCCTTACATCACATAACTCGTGACCTCATACAGTCCAGAGACCAGGAGACATAAGGAGCTGATTTGTTAACCCTGGCCCTCTGAACCGAACCCGAGTTTATTTCAAAATAGTTTCGAAACAAAGTCCATGACAAATTTTAGTGTTCATCTCTGTGGTTATCGTCTCAAGTTTACATAATATAACGTAACGTTGATATGAAAACGCTATTTTTGAACTTCCGCGAGCATCTCAGGTATTTTTAAATGTCGCATTGATTCTCTCTTAGAAAAATTGTTTATGTTGCCATTAGTTTGAAATTAGCAGTCAGTTTTAAATACCGAAATGAATATTACAGCAAGTGAAATCCATTGTACATTATAGCAAGTACAAAATGAAAATTACAGTAAGTGAATGTGTCATTAAACTCTGAAATGCTTTCCATTTTGTATTTTATATTAAAGAGTTTACTGTTCTTGGGTTTCAAGCGCAGAATTAAAATACGGAATTGCGAAACTCTTCGAAAAGTATACTGAATATTTTGATTTTTGTTTATGCTTTATGAGTTCTTCCTTTAAAATTTACTTTGTCTTTTAAAAGCAATTTCTTATGCTGTACTTCAATGATGCAATAAAATGCGGGTTGTATTTACAATATGATGTGCTGATTTAAAAGCAGAATTCCAAAGAGGGAAAGGAAGCAATCCTAATATTCATCATAAGTAAAAAAATCAAAATATTTTAAAAACTGATTGAAAATCTTAAGTTAATATAATTATGTCGTGTTGCTTTATGTGATATGATATATCACTAAGATGGTGCTAATGTTATTGTTTATTCCTTTAGTTCCTTTCCTGGTCAGATGGTGCTAATGCCTCAACCATGTTTTCTAAGTTCACTGCATGTAATTAAAGTATATATTATTAAAGTAGCAAGTTTTTACTATGATAAATATGATTATTTTCGTTAATCTCCATTAAATAGAAACTGTAGTAAAAAGAAACTGTTCAGTTCAGCACAGCTTTAAGAAAGTGCTTCGTATTTTAAAATGTTTCGCATTTCTCTAAAGAAGCAATTGAACCATGTGATATAATCAATCAAAAAACAAATTGTATGCAGCTTAATGTACACTTTTTTTCACACTTCGAGTTAATTGCACTTAAAGTACAGGGTGTACTCCAGGTGCAGTTTACAGCATTGTATGCTTCACTTTACAGATTTCCTTGTGAACTGCACACAAAGTACAAATTGTACGCAGTGTCTTATGCCTAGTCTTTCTTTCTTTAAGCAAATACATGAAGAGATTGTGAAAATGATAAGGGCACAAATTATTGCCAAGTATTTTTATAGATTTCTGGAAGTATTGTAAACATTCCAGTAATGGCCAGTGTAAAAACAGATATTTAAATATTTCATTATTGGTGGAGGAGTTTCATATTAAGAAGAGCTATGATATTTTCATCTAATATTGCCTCGTAAACATAAATAATTTTGTATATACCATTTCACGATAAGGCATAATTTTACACTGCGAATTATTCAAATGATTTGCGGTTCAATTTGGCAAGCAAGTGTTTGCAGCCTTTTGAAGTAATGTTGTTTATGTGTTTGTTACTTATTGCATGTCCAAATTATCTTTGATGTATGTTGCATTACAAGAACAAATATACAGAAAAATCAAAACGTTGTTCAATGATAAAGTCATACTTAAGCATAAAATTTTCATTTATGTATTTAACATTCATAACATTTATACATTCATCTTTTAGCAGTCTCCGTCCCATGTCATTACATAATATCTCTTAATGAATACATATACGTATATAATTATATACTGATAGCTGCAACTAAAAATAGGAAACTAACTACAAAAGACAAATGTTAAAACAATAATAATAAAACAGTCATTATCAGTTCTAATCGCTTTTCTTTGTGTTATCATTTAATTGCTGATTCAAATGCTTTTTCTAGCATTCACAAAAAATCACATTTTCAATCATTTTTTTCGCTCGTAAAAATACCTCAATAATAACTATTATTTGAGGGGGTTTTGAAATTAATTTATGAACTTAAAATATGGTAGATTTTTCTAAATTGCTGAGTTGCTTTTTTATTTAATTAAATGCGAGAAAACTCGCAAAGAAAGCATAACTCTGTGGAAAAATTTCTAGCAGAAACTGGCAACGTGAGCAAATATCCATGAAGCCAAGTCGTTTGCCCAGCTTCGAACTCGGGTGGAACTGGCAATGTTAAGCACTGAGCCATTCTTGAGCGTCAGATTTTCAAACATATGTCATTAAGATTTATAAAGCAGCATCATTAAAATCATTGCTGCCTATCATTACTTTACACTTACAGCTTATTAATTAACAGTTTTCTTTAATGTAAAATGCTATATTTAGTTTTAAGAAACCTACCATTTTAGTATAAATTATCATAGATTTGCGAAATAAACAATTTTAATACTGTAAAGTATTCCCATATCAATTCTTATGTATTATGAATGCAAATAATCAAATGGCACTTGCAAAATTATCTTACCTTTGATGATAAAGGCAAACGTTGAGAAAGTAACTTCCAAAAATGTACCTTTCATTTATTAATCTTATTTTTCGGTCTGGTTTACTTAGACCATGATACGGACACAAGTTTAAATTCTTTTTGTCATTCTAAATTTGAGTAGTATGCTAACTACTTCAGTCTACTATCTTTGTACTTAATGAACAATAAACAATAATTGTAAGATAATTAGAATAACATTAACTGTAGCTTAGAAATAATTTTAACAGAAAATTATTAATTAAATTTGGAAAAATATTGTTTTTTAAAAATATT